AAAACATTAAACACATTAATCCGTCAGCCAGACGAACACATTTCTGTAACGAGTAGAGATTTCCATCAACGGCATGGGAATGCAGTCATTATAGACTAAGGCAAACATGTATGAAGCAAGTTACTGCAAGGCAACTGAAACTGGCACCTTAAGATCTGGAGAAGCAGGGCTCTCCCAAGTCCCAGATTCTGCAGCTGGACGGCATGTCAAGTCCCCGGAACCCAGCTGGCTCCAGTGACTGGTTCTCGTTTCCCAGCGTGAAGCGTTTGCCCCTGTCGGGACCTGTCCCGCAGGAGCGCGATTTGAATTCTTCCTCTGGCGCGGCAGGTCTTTGATTTCGAGCTCGACGGGGAGGACATGAAGACCATCCTGAGCCTGAACAGGAACTGGAGGGCCTGTCCGATGCACTGGTAAGTGGGGAAGACGTTCTCCAGGCCAGGGCAGGGTGCTGGATTTGCAGCAGTTTGGGTCTCGCCCATGGAGTGAGGAAGGAGCTATGCCTGATCTATCAAAATGGCGTTTGGATTCAGGTGGGATAGGGTACCCTAACCCTAACCCTAACCCAGAGCTGTGAAACTGGGTGACCAGACTGGACTGAACTGTCCCCTGTTAGATTATCATGCCCCATCACATCTCTTGCAGTCCCATTGCTGACTGATTAAATTAAATGCATCTTAAGGGCTACTTTGGTGGAGTTCGGCGGTTGTGATGCAGGGATCCATTTTGGGGGTCTTTTTTTCTTCCTGAATTACAGTCCCTGTAGGTTTACACACTCTTTCCAAAGAAACACAGTCTTGCAGCCTACCAACCTGAAGGCAAGATGCAGCAAGTCATGGATTTTTATTTTATTTGTGAAAATGTGTGGCACCTCCCCACCTTCCAAGTGCGAAAAGAGGTGCTCAGTCATTTTGGAAAGTCAGTACAGATGAAAACCTAGAAAAACGCGTTGCCTACAGGGTGTATATCCACAGCCCTTAGTGAGTACATTGTGGAAACAACTTTTGCTTGAATTACGTCCGTAATTCTGTGTAGATCGGTCTATACAAAGGATAATAATTGCTGACTCTTACATAGCTCTCTTCTGGACTCTCCACCTGGATGATGCTCCAGTCCTCTCACACACACCAGCTCTCAGTGGGGAGGAGAGCAGAGGGATGGAGCCAGTTCAGAGAGGGGGGTTATTAGGAGGCC